AAAAGAGGAAGACCCATAACGAGATGGATCAGCCAGGTGGCATCATTGATGGACTCAAGTGTGGCAGCGGTAGTGAGGTTGGCCCAGGATCGGACATTGTTTCATTCTGCCGTGCATGGGGTCGCTGTGAGTCGGTTCTGACTCGATGGCACCTGACAACAACAACAACTACTGTCTGCCTCGTGACTAGTGTATGTAATCCATTTCCATTCAGTATGAATTTATTGCTGTCATTTTGCTGTATGTGTATGTGATGCTGTTGGTTTCTGTTTCACATAATATTACTGCACTTAGAAGTAAAGCTTGTACTATTGCTTTGAGATTTGCGGAAAAAGAATTCACATGAATATAACTGTTTTGTTTTGTTTTTAATTTCAGAAGTTCCATTATAAAAATCTTCTCCTTGGTGAACATGATGTCCCTCTAACATGTGTTGAGCAAATTGTCACAAGTAGGTAATATTCTTGCCTCATCCTATATACAGGGTGATTCTGAAAATGCTACTTGAGTTCTAAAACCTGGGTTGGAATGTAGTTTTGTGGTTTCCTTTTTTTTAATGAATACTGTAAAAATAAGAGGGGCAATATGAGAAATTATTTTTAAATGTAAATGTAGGTCATGTAAGTTTCTTAAAATATTTTTTTCTGGTTTTGCCCTCTTTTCAATTAAAATTTTAATGATTAAGTGTATCTAGATGGTTATCTTATATCTTGTGGTTAGTTATGTGTCATAGAGTCAGTTCCGACTCATAGCAACCCTGCATAGGGTTTCAGAGGCTGTAAATATTTATAGGAGCAGAAAGCCTCATCTTTCCCGCAGACTGGCTAGTAATTTTGAACTGCTGACCTTGAAGTTAGCAGCCCTACTTAAAACCACTGCGCCACCAGCACTCAGAGCAATTTAAAATAACTTCAAAAGCAGGTTTAAAATAGACTCTCCAGAGTTATAAGAACTATTGGCCAATATTCCGGCGACATTACTGTTCAAGTGATTAATGATCTCCGATTATTTTCATTACGAGTTTGTAAAAGAATGAGTGTTAAAGAGCAAATAACAAGAAATTTGACAAATTCTTTCTTTCTTTTTTTAGTAAATGACCACAAGAGGAAGCAGAAAGTACTAGGCCCCAATCAGAAACTGAAATTCAATCCAACAGAGTTGATTATTTATTGTAAAGATTTCAGAATTGTCAGATTCCGCTTTGATGAATCAGGTCCCGAAAGTGTGAGAAAGGTAATACTGTTTAATGTTATCAAGTTTGGGGCTCTGCACTGTTCCATATACAAGTTCTCAGTTTTCTTTTGTTCACATTTGCTAAGGGGAAGTCACCATCAGATACCTCCTTAAGTCAAGTCAACACCAAGAATGTTAATACAAAAGGGATTTAAAAGTTCACAGTAAAATGGAATTCAAACACAATGGAGTTTGTCCGCAACGTTTTTATACCCTTATACAACTGTGGCTGCTCTAGTCTATATAATTGTATTAGTTCCTGAAAATATTAAAGACCAGAATTTCATATGGAAATTAAGGTATCTTTCAAAATAAAACCATTGTCAGGTAGTTTCTTTCTTGATTAAAAATGTTGAGAATTCAGAGATAGAAAGTAATTCAGGTTTGGTAAAACTCAATTTAGGACTTAATAAACTACCTGAGAACTTTACCTACAAACAGAGAAGTATGACTTAAGTTACATGTTGTTGTTGTTGTTGAGGGCCTTCGAGTCACTGTAGACTCATATCCACCCTGCATAGGGTTTCCAAGGAGCAGTTGCTGGGTTTGAACTGCTGACCTTGTGGTTTGCAATTCAGTGTTTATCCTACAACACCACACCAGTTAGGTAAATGTCTAGTTACGGGAGGTACGTGATAATTACTAGGTTTAAAGAAATCTTATTGGATGTAATATTAACCAGAGTAATCAAAAGCTGTTGTTTGTTGTTGTTAAGTGCCGCCTAGTCAGTTTTGACTCACAGCGGCCTTGTATAGGGTTTCCACCGAGTGGCTGGTGGGTTTGAAGCACCAACCTTGTGGTTAGCAGCCCTGTGCTTATCTTTCAGTGCCACACCAAGACTCTGTTGTTGTCTTGTGCCGTGGTGTCGGTTCCGACTCATAGCAACCCTGTACAGGGTTTCCGAGGCTATAAATCTTTACGGGAGCACAAAGCCTCATCTTTCTCCCGCGGAACAGCTGGTGGTTTCGAACTGCTGACCTTAAGGGTCGCAGCCCAATTCATAACCACTACGCTACCAGAGCTCCTTACACTAAGACTCTAGAAACTTATAAATTGGCTTTGTTTCCCCCTACCATAGAGGAAATGTTTATCACCTATTTGTGAAGTAAAATTCAGGAGCAAATTTCCACACTTCTTTGAGTCCATGTCTGGCTTTAATAGAGGAATGAAGCTGAGAGTTTTAATGCCTTTCTTCTCCAGTATATGGTACAACCGAAGATAACAACAAATTTCCAGGGAAAAAGCCTGCTCCCATATACTGGGAATGGAGGAATGATGTCTTAGTGGCATAGAAGCTTACTTTTCGGACATATAAAGCAGCTTTTACATTACCAAAAATGGATACATTTGCTTACCATGGTTAAGACTTAACTGCAGTGAAATTTTTGTGAAGAACATCTTAAGCATATGTTTTTATGTGCTTTAACAATAAGATGGTAGATTTCTTTTTAGGACAAGAACCAACATTGTCTTTACAGGATGGCAGAAATGGGTATTTTTGGTATATTATCTGCGAATGTGTAACCACTAGGATTATTCAACCAAACGATGACTAAGAGTTTCACGCAGACTCTGGAGAACAGTCTATCAGCATGCTGCACTACTGAAATTCTAACTAGGTTGCTTTTAAGGCCCCTTACAGCTGTTAGATGGCACTTAACAACAACAACAACAACAGCTGTTAGATTCTACAGTATGTGCTTCTGGAATTTTACCAATTTCAAATCCTATTCTTAGACAGAAAGACTTTAGAATTAATTAAGTTGTAAACTGCACATTAATGGCTTTAGCCAAGTTACTCTCCTGAGCTTAAATATACTTATGTATTCCACCAAAGCCTCAAAAACCCGCTGATAAAGGCCTTTAACTTCAACATGTGGACAGCATCCCAAGAGTAGGGGATACCATGGAACTTGAGTTAAAACAAAATCTTTTTAAATAATAAAGTGATAGTTAACCCAGTATTTTTTTCAGAGAGTTTACATCTCTCCTACTTTCTACTGCCTGTCTCAGGTGACGTTGTTTCAATAGATCATCTTTAACTGGAAACCACTATCATTTGATTTATTGCTTTAGCCATCTAAAGTATTTGTTGATCATATTTTATGTGATGCATTGTGCTAAATTTTTCAAGATAGAAGGGTAAGATGCAATGTCTTGCTCTGAATAGCTTAAGTCTAGTCAAGAAGATACAGCATGAACAAATAAAACTTAAATACGAGAGCAAAGTAGCAGCAGAAAAGAAGTTTGCACATACATGATCCGTTGCCAAGTGGACAGACCCATGCTCTGGGATTCAGAATAGCCCTTCTTTGTTGTGTTGCTGAAGGGTGACCGGGGCCCGCATTACACTGTTGTCACAAAACAGGCAAGACCAAGTTTCTGCCAAAATTCCTTTTCCTAGTGTCTTAAAATACTTAAAAAAAAAAAAATTACCGCAGTCCAGAAAGAAATAACTAGTTTGTCTGAGTTAATACAGTTAAAAAGTCAAAACATGCAGGAGAAAAACAGAGGCAGTAGAAATGTAAATAGTAAAAAATATTTTTCCTGATTTGCATTTGTGTAGTCATGTGACTACACAAGCTTAATGACCTTGAAAGTTAAAAAACAAGAACTCTGGCATATTTCAAGTGAAAGTTTTCATTTAAAATGTCTGAAAGTTACAGCTCACTTTTGCTAGAAACTTTGAATGCTAAGTTCTCTCTGGAAAATGCTTTGATTGTATACGTTTTTAAATTATCACGTGTGTGTAGAGTTCTCTGTGAGAGTGAACCAATGATTCATTTTGAAGTACTAAAAACATTTGTGTTTCGGTTTGAAATATGAAATCTTAAAATGCTACGGTTCCGTTTTGTTACGTTACCAAATTTGTATTATGAAAAAATTACCTGTGCAGTTGTATCCATAAACATTCATTCCTATGATTCTTGAACTATCAAGACAGTATAAGAATATCTGTGAAAGGTCTCTATGAAGAATGATAGAACTTGGTCCTACAGAATTGAACATCTAGAATCACAGTAACTTGGAGCCAACATTTCCTTTTGAAGAAACTTTGCTTGAAATTGATCAGTAAAAAGAGTGTTCTTAATGACTTGTTGTTGTTGTTGTTGTTGTTGTTAAATGCCATTGTGTCAGTTCTGACTCATAGCGACCCTGTATAGGGTTTCCGAGGAGTGGCTGGTGAGTTTGAACCGATGCAGACTGACCCTAGAAGTCTAGTGCTTATCCTACAGCGCCACACTTTTAAAAAGATGTATTAAGGGTGGTGAATTAGATATAGGCTCTTTTTGTCTCCACTTAATTCTGGAATTAGTTGACCCTTGTGAACCATTTGTCCAGGCATACTTTATAGAATGAAAATACAACGAATTAAGGAACAATTTGGCCTGTTCCTGACTGGCATTTGTCCTTGCCTCCGACTTACTCTTTTGTTGGTGACTCTCGGACCACAGTGACACGGAGCAGCAGCTTTGTGTACAGCAGTGATAGAACTTGATGAGGTTTGGGTGTCATGGACTGGACCTTGTCTTGTACTGTGCCACTGAGGAGACCCTCACACCTGGGTCCCTTCTGACTTCTCTCAAGACAAGAAAATCAGCACTGATCCACAAATAGGCTCAAAAGTAATTTGCGCTTACGTCTCCCCTCAGTACAATATTTATTATAATTGAATGTTTTAAATAAGGAGCCTTGGTAGCGAGTTGCGCTGCTAACTGCAAGGTCAGCAGTACTAATCTACCAGTTGCTCCTCTGGAGAAAGCTGAGCCCTTCTGCTCCTGTAAAGATTTAGAGCCTGAGAAACCCTCCACAGGGTCCCCATGAGTCGGAAGTGCCTTGGTGGCACACAACCACCACCACCGATGTCTTTAATATCAAAATTTTCTTCATTTCCTATGATTTAAATTAACAAATGAAAGAAAACTCAAACCCGCAGCCATTGGGTTGATAACAATTCATTTTCTATGCTAACCAGGCCAAATGAAGTATTTCAGTGGCTTTTATATATGTATATATAGTTTCATTTTTTTTTTTTTTTTAAAGTGAACCCTATCTAAGTCTTTTAAACTCTTAGCAGTGAAGGAAACTGGGAATTTGAACAGAAGCTTTTGAAGTCGTGTGTACAAAAGAGGGCAAAGAAAAGAATGCCTTGACTTCCTCCCCCTTGTCAAAATACCCCACAATAGCAGTGTCAGCTTACCCAGATGCACGAGTTAGTGTGTGCGTCTGTCTGTGTACACAGATACCCCTTATTTACCAAGAGCACACCCACTGCTATCAAGTCAGTTCTGACCCATAGGGACCCTGTGTAGGATTTCATCTTTCTCCTGAGGAGCGACTGGTGGGTTTGAACTGCTGACCTTGTAGTTAATATTCCACACGGACAACTGCAAATTTAGTATCCTATACACGGACAACTGCAAATTTAGTTTGTCCTCTCTCAAAAAAATCAACCTTTGTGCAAATAATTAAAAGTCAACTTCAGCTCACAATATTTTTTATATTTATAGTCATCTTTAAATATAGCTATATGAAGACACACATTTGTGTGTTGTTTAGTTACTGTTTAGTGTTGTCAAGTCAGTTTCTACTCATAGCGCCCCTATCTATATAGGGTTTCCAAGAAGCGGCTTTTGTGTATGTTGTTGTTGTTAAGTGCTGCAGAGTCAGTTCCAACTCAGTGACCCTGTATAGGGTTTCTGAGAAGCGGCTGCTTTTTAGCCTATATAAATGTGATGTTAGGCGATTTTGAAAGAGCTTTTCAGAAATGGGCTATGTTGTGTTTTGAGTAGCAGATGTGCTTTTTTATAAGCATGACTGTATTCTACAATGATCACTGAATTTCTTTTGTGTAATCCAAACTTGTGATTGTTTTCTGGATGTCTTTCTTGTTGTTAAGTGCTGTGAAGTCTGTATGGGTTTGTGAGGAGGAGCTGGTGGGTGTGAACCCAGTGCTTATGATACAGAGTGGCACACCAGGTTTAGCACTACTGGCTTTGGAACATTTTCCTTAATGCATTAGCAACTAATTGTGTCAGTTAGTATGAAGGGGCTTCAAAAAGTTCATTGAAAAATTCCATTATCTGTCCATTTCATTTTTCTGTAAACTTTTTGAAGCCCACAGTGCAGAGGTCTGCTGGTCTCTCTTCACGTCTGCTCGGTGAGGCCCCTCCTGGTCTCCTTTCTAAATTATTAACCCACTTCTCTCTCTCCTCACTGACTCTTCATATCTTCTTTCCCTTTTTCCTTTGTTGTTCTATAGCACTTACACATACCTCATAGGTAGACTGTGTGCATCCCTTACCAGAATGTAAGCTTTATAAAGACAGAATTCTTTGTCTGCTTTATTCACTGCTGCATCCCCAGGGCTCAGAGCTTAGTAGACGGTCAGTAAATACTGGTTGAATGGGAAACATCCATCCCCCTCTTGAGCTTAATGGTAGGACTTAAACAAAGAGTCACCTATAGGCTCCTTTGTAATCCCCACTCCTAGTATGTGACTACCTTGAGTGTAAAACTACATAGGCACTCAATGCTATGAATCAAAATGTGTATGAATTGCTGAGTGGAAACCCAGTCAGCTCCGTAAATGTTCACCCAAATCACTATAACAGTTAACCAAAAAAAAAAAAAACTTAAGTATAATGAACTCAAGAGACACTATATAAGAGCTGTTGATATTCAGAAAAAGCTTCTTATATTAAAACCATAAAAATGGACTTACTCTAGGACGACTGCGCAGGAGAGTTTTGTAGACTAGAGACGTGAACGACCGAGAAAGTGTGGTGGGTTGGGAGAAGTAGAAGAGTTTCCTGCTCAGAGAGGAGACGGCTGGGCTAAGTCAGACTGTGTGCAAACGTGGTTTTCTCTGGCTAGGGGCTACTCGGGGAATGTTTGGTGGAAGAGAACCAGCTTTGTGGATAATTAAGAATAAGGAGATTTAATCTATTATGCAGGATTCTGGGATCCATGGCAGATTATCAAGGGAGCAAAGTGATTGGTCAAAATTACATCTTTAGAAGAGAATTCTTAAGTGTTGTGGACTTTTAGAATGTAGGGGACCCACAGAAGTGCCATCAGGTGAGTACGATGAAGGATATGGCTGTGGTAGTGCAGTGAATGGGGACAGTTATATACAGTGTTCTAGAGGAAAGTGCAGCTGCCGTGCCCTTCAACTAATGGTGCACGGGCGGGCATCCAGGGGAACAGCAACTGCTGAGGACTTGTTTGGAAGGTGTAGATTTAAGAAGTTTTGCTGCTAGGAGATGTGCTCTAGGAAAAGATTGTTAAATAGATTGTTGTTGTTAAGTGCCGTCGAGTCGGTTCCGACCCATAGCGACCCTGTACAGGGTTTCCGAGGGTGTAAATCTTTACAGGAGTAGAAAGCCTCATCTTTCTCCCGCAGAGCAGCTGGTAGTTTCGAACCGTTGACCTTAAGGTTCGCAGCCCAACTCGTAACCACTACGCTACCAGAGCACCTTGTTAAACAGATTAGGAATGAAAATGTAGTTAAGATTCTTCTAATTTTTATAAATGGGACACTCATAGAAAGCTCTCCTTAGACATTGAGAAGCTGTAGGTATCAACATTTTGTTAAAACTATTAATTCCTAGTACCCATCCCCTTTGCTTATTTTAATATCCTACAGTGTAGTGACCCTGCAGAGTCACACCGGGAGTCCTCTTAGCTCATTTGTTGTTGTTAAGTGCTGACTCTTTAGCGACCCTGGATAGCGTTTCCGAGGAGACACTGGTGGGTTTGAACTTATTTTAATAAGACAAGAAACATTCTTTAGAAGACTTTTAAAACTATATTTTAAACAGCAAGTAGACATACACTGTCAGTAGAATTGCATCACGCCATCCCAAACACCTCTAACTTCATAGGAACTAACAATGAATTAGACTTTGCTTGCTTGCTTGCTTGCTTATGTTGAAAGTGTGTCATTCTGGCTCAATGCTTTACCTTCTAAATGGCATTTAATCTCTTCGAGTAAGGCCATCTACTTTACTTGCCCTGCATTGTGTCTTAAATTGCTTAGTTCCTCTTTGCTCATTTGTTTTTGTTAAGTGCCTTTGATTGGGTTCCAATGCACAGCCACCCTGTCTAGGTTTCCTAGGAGCTGCTGGTGGGTTTGAACTGCTGACCTTGTGGCTCGAAGTTCAGTGCTGATCCTACAGTGCCACACCAGGAGTCCTCTTTGCTCATTTGTTGTTTTTAAGTGCTGTCATTTCCGACTCATTAGCGACCCTGTATAGCGTTTCTGAGGCGATACTGGTGGGTTTGAACTGCTCACCTTGTGGTTCACAGTCCAGTGCTAATCCTATGGCACCGCACCAGGGGTCATTTTAGAGTGTTTAATATCTCCCACAGTCTAGCCTGGAGTCCTGGTGTGACGTTGCGGGATCACACGCTGGACTGCAAGGTCAGCGGTTCAAACTCACCAGCCACTCCTCAGAAACCCTATGGAGAGTCGCTGTGAGTCAGAACCGACTTGAAGGCATTTCACAGCAACAACAACAGTCTAGCCCAGGGCTCTGTAAGCATAGAATTCCATCGTATATTCCTTCCTACAGCTGCTGAGAGAAACAACCACATTTCCATGTGTGGAAGAAGGGGCCAGGCATGCATTAAGATCACTAACCCTTACCCCAGCCATAGATATGTTTCTCTGTTACAAATGAGCAAGTAGCACTTTGGGAAGATGAGTTGACTTCATGCAAATTACTTAACAAGTGAAGGATAGATTAGGATTTTAACTTGATCTGTTTGATTTAGAAGCCTGTGTTCCCCCTAGGATGTAGTCTCAAGTCATTCTACTTAAGCAGGTTTTAAATAGACCTCTTTGAATTATTTTGCGTTTGTTGCTAATGTTTGTGTGATTGTGTTTTGTCTACTAGGTATAGAATTTTGAACCCAGGAAATATAAACATTAAAATGCCATGCCTTATATTAAACCTCCCAAATTGCTGTTATTTAATCATTATATATCATTTCAAAAATGAAAGAGTGTTATTATTTATTACTTTTATTTAAGAATGGATGTGTCACTTCATTTTGTAGAATGCTTTTGTAGCTTTCAAGGGCTCAGCTATTTGAATAAAATTACTTTCCGATAAAAATCCAACTTAACAATTATTGAATACTTAGTCATGCCCTACCTGAAGGTAAAAGTGCGTCTTGGGGACACAGTGATGACTAGAGGTACCTGACCTCAAGGGCCCCTTTCACCTTCTAGAGCAACAGAAGAACGTAGAAGTACGTCTAGCAATCGCTACCCCAGGGTGATGCTCTCAGAGACCAAGGCTTGTTGTACATTTCATTTAAGAGTGTTAAAATCGAATTCTAAATGTAGAATTTTTCCTAGGTATGCCTTGCAATAGCTCATTATTCCCAGCCAACAGATCTCCAGCTACTCTTTGCATTTGAATATGTTGGGAAAAAATACCACAACTCAGGTAAATATGAAAACATTAAGTATTGTGACTAACTTAATGCATTGTACAAATTGTATTGCTTATCAGACGCCTCAGAGTACATGAGCTTTAATGAATGTAGACTTGTGTAATAACTGTTAGAGAAGTAAGCACTATACACTAAAACAACCAGCATTTGTCTAATTATTTTTGGAAAAGTGATAAGAAATAACCTACACCTACAAGCAGCAGTAAAGGTGGCCTTATGAAGGTCATGTCATGTAAAATAGAAGCCGGATTCCCCCCCCCCCCCCCCATTAGTTGGTATCTTGAGTTAAAATCTTCTTTTCAGAAAACTAAAGACACTTGACAAGCTATTTTTTTCCTGACAAGGTGTGATCTCATACAAAAACTGATGTGTTGAAAATGTAATGGACTTTTAAGATCACCAAAATACTGACTTTCTGTTTCTGAGTATGTTTCATGAAAGGAAGATAAGCATTGGCCTAAAGGATAGGCGTATTCTAGGTAGGTTTTATAAATGTAAAAGTAAAAATGTCCGCACAGCTTAGTCAGCCATGATACCACCAAGAAAGATTGCAAGTGAGCATGTAATTCTGTGCATTCTGTTTGTATGTTGTTGTTGCTAAGGGCCAGCAAGTTGGTTCTGACTCACAATGACCCTGTGTAGGGTTTCTGAGGAGCAGCTGGTGAGTTTGAAAGGCCAACCTTGCGATTCAAACTGACCTTGCAGTCCAGTGCTTGTCCTCCAGCGTGGCAGAAAGGGATTTTACCCTTTAACCCCCAATATCAGAACTCTGTTTATATGGAATTTTCTAATAAGCCATTTTTTTACATCACATAAAAAAGGAAAAACGGGCATATCTGTGGTTTTGTGACTACGCATTGGCTTACTTAATGGTGCCATGTGTTCATGCATTCTTCTTTGTTGTTGCTGTGAAGTGTAGTCGAGTTAGTTCTGACTCATAGCAGTCCTGTACGGGGTTTCCAAGGCCATAAATCTTCTCGGGAGCAAAGAGCCTCATCTTTCTCCCATGAAGCAGCTGGTGGACTCGAACTGCTGACCTTTTGGTTCACAGTACAGTGCTTATCCCACCCACCGTGCTTCAGTTTTTTAGAAAGAAAATGTGAGTCAGTGATTGTTTATAATAACAGACCATTCACCCTAGCGTGGTCTGGATTGAGGGTCTTACAAATTATTAATTTTACTAGACAAGACACACAATAACCTGTATGTTGTTGTTGTTGTTGTTATGTGCTGCAGAGTCAGTTCTGACTCAGAGCAACCCTGTACAGCGTTTCCAAGGTTGTAAATCTGTACAAGAGCAGAAAGCGTCATCTTTCTCTTGCGGAACAGCTGGTAGTTTCAAACTGCCGACTGTGAGATTAGCAGCCTGATTCGTAACCACTACGCTACCAGAGCTCCTTGGTAACCTGTATAATAGAAGTATATTTCACATCACTGCATTGTATATATATTAAAATGTAATAACAATGCACAGTATCTGCAAATGTATATAGTATAAGTGGTTTTTCACTTAAAGGTATTTATCAACACTGGTGTGGCACTATGGAATAAGTCGGTTTCGGTCGTAAGATTGGCGGTTCAAACTCACCAGCTGCTCCTCGGAAACCTTATCCAGGGTTACTATGAGTCAGAACTGCCTTGACGGCACTTGGTAACAACAGCGACATCAACACTGTGGAGGTGATTTACAATATTGATGCCTTGCTCAGCGGCTTTCATTTTCCTAGTACTGCATTTTTACAAGTTGGAAACGGAACTATTTGTAAAACTTCCTTATAGGACACACACTAATTGTAACTTAGGCTTCAACACTAGTTTTCAACGTTTATTTCTTAATATAAAGACCATTTACTTATTGCTTAAAAATAGTTTAAGTATTGTAAACCTTGTACTGTTCATCAGGTGAACATTCCTTTTGATCTAGCTGAAATTGAAGTAGGAGAGGGTCTGATTCCCATTTTAATTTTCTCATGCTACAGGCCAGTCCTTAATGCTATTTCACCTAAAAAGGATTCACTCTAATGGACAAAGCCATGCTTTCTGCAGCAGTGCAAGACTCGTTGTTGTTGTTAAGTACCCTGGAGTCGGTTCCAGTTCATAGTGACCCTTGCACGGGGTTTCCAAGGCTGCATGACTGGGACGCAGCAAACATGATAAGCTTTGTTATTTTTGCCTAAGTTATTTTCGCTTTTCTTGCATTTTTCTTCACCTATTTCTTTAAAATATTTTATTGACTCCATAGCTTTTTTTAACAGCAACAACAGCATAGCTCTTTTAATCAATTCGTCTTTTTCTTCTTGTATAGCCTGTTGGTGAAATCTGGATAGTGTAAACTTCAGGAACACTTTATATTAAATCTTTGAAACTCCTGCCCCTTTGACAGGTACTTCATAAACGTAACACTTGACCAGAGTTTTGTTACAGTTCCTCATAGGGTGACATTCTGTAATATCCTTCCATGCTATTGAAGAAGCATATACATCTTTAAGATCAAAAGAAGTCTGAAATGTCCACACATTGCAGTCAGAAATCAGTCATTTGAGAGAGAAAGATGCCTAATAATCCACTTTTGGGCTTCCGGAAGACACCTTGATTCATTGGCTGAAGTAAAGAATGCCTTTTGGCAGGCTGGTAGGTGACAGAGCTGTTTCCACAAATAAGATCTGAAGTTGGAAGGTATCTTCTGCACTTCTCTAAGAAAAAGAATCCTTTAAGTTACCTTAGGGATTCTGAGGTTTTCCTTCATGTCCCCCAGCATGGATGAGTGAGACCCAACCCCCTGCTGCCCGGTCAACTCTGCCTCTTAGCAGTGTCCTAGGGCCGAGTAGAACTGACCCGTGTTGTGCCTAGGCTGTCATCTTTCTGGAAGCAGACTGCCATAGCTTTCTCCCATGGACAGCTGGTGGCGTCGAACCACTGACCTACTGGTTAGCAACAGAGCACATTAAGCACGGCACCCCCCTGTCCTGAGTAAACTCTGGAAACGTCTACACTCATCCAGATACTTCTCAGTCTCTGCACAGGCAGACCGCAGGGCCAGCACCTCAGAGGGAGTCTTTTTGGTTTTTTTATTTTGAACGAAACCAGGAGGACACTTTTCATCAGTCACCTTATTACTGGATTTGCAGCGTCCAATAGTATAGTTTGATCTTTCTTAGAAAGTCAAGAAGATGTCAGATTACGCTTCTGGACTGAAGAATTGAGAATTTTGTAACGTTGTCTGTGGTACTGACACCGTGTCATCTGACGGTGTGATGTTGCCTCCCATCAGAAAAGATTCATTTTCAATGACATTTTCTTTTTACATTTTATCCTTTTTATTAGCATAGGTTCTGCTGTTGGATTTTCCTCTAAATGCCTACTTGAAAACTTCTGCATTATACAGTCCATTTGACACAGTGTAGGAAGTTTTCAAGTTCGTTGCTTATTAGTTCTCTCGAGATTTTCAGTGTAGATGTAACGATTGTAATTGATCCTTTTCTGTCGTTAACATTGATGGCATTAGCTAACTCTGTGCATCAGAACCACCTGAGGAGCTTTTAAACAACGACCTTGGACTCTACCCCAGACGTGCAGTATGGAAATCCTCCGAAGCATTCTTTTGCTGACTGGATAAGAACCACTTGGTCGACTAGACTCTGTTTAATTTATTAACGATCATAGTTTTGTTGTTATATTTTCTGCCCATCCTTCTCGCTTCTAGTTTCTTCGGCACCATTAAAATGATAGGCTGTTTCGTCTGTTGAGCACTTTTACTGTCTTTGCTGCTGCTTGAACTCATTCTAAATATGTAAAGTGCTGTGGAGTTGGTTCTGACCTAGAATGACCCTGTGTGGGTGAGTTTGAACCACCGGCCCTGCAGTCCACTGCTTATCCTACAGCACCACACCAGGACTGCAGTTCTAAGTACTGTTGTTGTGAAATGCTCTCGAGTTGGTTCCAACTCATATCCACCCCATAGAAGGTCTTTAAGCAGCAGCTGGTAGGTTTGAACTACTCACCTTATGGTTCGCAGCCCGATTCTAAATACAGATGGGGCTAACTAAGTAGAAGCCTTCTAAGACACCGTAATCCCAGTGTAGGGTTAGACTTCTGAGCTGTGTCACAGATGATACCTACTATCAGTATGATCCCATCTCACTTTAAGTCAGTTGATGTGCTGTGTCGTAAAGCCTCTGCCACGAGCTTTGCCAAACTTGCTATGATTGTAATTCACGCGCAAACAGGCCACAGGTATCAGCCCCAACTAGAAAGCACATTCTGTGATGAGCTCTTACCGAGGAAGAAACCAGAGCTAAATCGGTTGCATGGAGTCCGTTTCCTTTGTGTCAGAGTTACTGAGCAGAGCTCTGTCTAGGGTTTTCTTGAGTGTAGGACTGCTGTGAGTACGAATCCGTGTGAAGGTAACTGTAGCAATCCTTACAGCACTTCACCAGACCCTTCTCTCATGGGGCAACTGGGTGGGTTTGAGTTGCCAACCTTTAGATATACATGTGATTGTAGTTCGAGAAGGTTTTAGGATACGTAAAGGAGCTCTGGTAGCGTAGTGGTTATGAATCGGGCTGCTATCCTCAGGGTCAGCAGTTCAAAACTACCAGCTGTTCAGCAGGAGAAAGATGAGGCTTTCTGCTCCCGTAAAGATTTACAGCCTTGAAAACGCTCTACAGGGTCACTATGAGTCAGAACCGACTCCACAGCACATAACAACAACAACCTAGTAGTGTATAGAGTAACCTATAAAATGGCAAGAAACACAAGACCCTGCAGGCATTCTTTATGTGAGAATAAAAGATCTCTTTTTAATTAAACCTGGAGACAAGATTTTGCCAAAGGCACAATCCTATAGATGGTAGTATGGTCTAAGTCTAGCTTATTAAAGTCTGTAATTCAGAACATTACAAAATATTTTCTAGACTCTTGGCTAGAAACTACTTGCATAGCTCTTTTAAAATACTGAGTTTGTTCTTTATATTAATGTGTCTTTTCTAGTGGTGGTTGTCTTCAAGTGTGCCTAGGGGCCTCTGGTACAACGTTCAGAGTAATAATGGTAGTGGAAACCTATTCCTGATTTTAATGAAGGTGCTGTGTTCCCTGTGTGTCTCATAGGTTGCAGGTGTTGTAATGAAGATGGTGTTTGCCCTGTTAACTCTGTGTTTCTTATAGATGTTCTTTATCAAGTTAGGAAAATGCCCTTTTATTCCTAATTTGCTAAAGAATTGGAAGTTTTTTTGTGTATTTGGTTTGTTGTTTTTGTTTTGTTTTAAATCATACACAGGCATTGAACGCTAGCAAATGTTTGTCCACACTTACTGAGTTGGTCATATGGGTGCTTTCCCCTTTAATTTGGTCATGTGATGAATTATGTAGCTTTTCTAACCTTGAATGGGGTTCTGTGTCGTTTTGGTTTGGAAAACTGTAGTGCTTTAAAGTGGAACTTGCATAGAAGTCTCCCATGCATGTTGTGCATTCTGAAGAAAAGCCTCAAGTCCTCTCAACACACTTTCCCACTGTTCATGCTCCTCCTTAGAAGTGGCTGAGATGGGTGGGGCGGGGCTGGGATATGTGCCTAGAACTGCATTGTAATTGTTAGCCAGCTATGTTGAAATCAGAATTGCTGGACATTGCTGACGCACTCAGAGGGTACAATTCAGAATTCCTAGCAGGGCATGTAAGACCCTCCCTAAGCTCTGGTAGCATAGTGGTTACGAATCGGGCTGCGAACTGCAAGGTCAGCAGTTCGAAACTACCAGCCACTCCGTGGGAGAAAGATGAGGCTTTCTGCTCCCGTAAAGATTTACAGCCCCGGAAACCCTGTTCAGGGTCACTATGGGTCAGAACCGACTCAATGGTACTTAACAACAACAAGTTAGAGCAGCCCTCTCCGATCGAATGCTCTGCAGTGGCGGAGGTGGTCTCTAATATGTCCTGGCAGTGTGGAGAACCCGCGTGTCTTCACCAGGAATTACTGGTCTATAGGAATGGATGTGGCACACTTAGGGAACGAACAGTAAAGGTTCCTGTGGCTACAAGGGAGAATGGGACTTAAAAAAGAATGGGAAACGAAGGTCAGGTCAGTTATGTGGGGGCTTCTTAAGGCTAATGGGAGTCATTTAGGCTTGCTTGAGTCCGTTGGAATATGCACCTGGTTTAAGGCAAAGACATAGCCTCATGAAAGCATCTTATTGGGGAAGGTGTGCTGGTGGGCCACCATGTTGGATGTCAGCTAGGAGGCATGCCACCATTGCTGCATACAGCCACAGGGGCTGTGCCATTTGTCAGGAAATTGGGTTGACCTATTGGGTCACCTGCAGGCCTTCCAGAGCCATAGGGGTGGTCACGGAAGGTAACAGTACTGCTCTATTTAGAAAAGGCTCCTTGCTAATGAAATCCAGGTCTGGCTCTCCCTGCTGAAACCTTCATATGGGACTAGCAGTGTGAGTGGAGAACAAGGAACCTTTGTAAGCTTATCAAGGGAAAATTGAGAAGATACAGGAAACAAATTTTAAAAATAGCTGATAGAAAAGGGCCAAAAAGTGGATACTAGAAAAGAGAAAACATTGGGGAGTTCAAGGTAGTGATTGAGAACAGAGATGATGATTCATTGTTCTAGGTAAAAAGTGTGACTAAAATGAGCAGATGCCGAGAACTTACCACACAGTTTGGAGTAGTAGAATGAGGAAGGGTCAAGTTGGTTTTCCATAGAACAGTGGGGATAGAAGGTAGTTGACAGTTAAGGGAAACAAATGGAGAGGAAATAGAGCAGCAGGCATCGCTCATCGTTTAGGAAATGGAACTGAAAATGTGTAATAGAGTGGACCAATGTGATGAAATTCGAGTCTTTCCGAAATTGGGTTGACCTATTTCTATTTGAAGGCACAGAGCACAGAAGAAAGAAAAGGCAAAGACCCTTAAGGAGTTAAGAAAGAGCTAGACAAACTCTAAATGACTTCTTGTCAGAGAGAAGGGTTGCCTCTTTGTCAGGCTTGCTGGGTGAGTTAGGGTTCTTGGAGAAATTTGAAAATGAAGCAGAGATGAAGTTCCAGAGTCACAAGAGTACATGTGTGGTGGGAATAGTGGATGCAAATGTGAGTTAAAATTAATGACCTTGCTTTTTCCTGTAGGCAGCAGTATCAATGGAATGCCAACAGGAGGTGGTGGAGCTGGCAGCGGCAGCAGCCAGAAAACACCACTGTTTGAAACCTACTCAGATTGGGACAGAGAGATCAAGAGGACAGGTGCTTCTGGGTGGAGAGTTTGTTGCATTAATGAGGGTTACATGATATCCACATGGTGAGTCCAATTTTAATGCTTCTTTATAAATAATAAACTTTAACCAAAATTGTGAAGTGACGTGAAGTCGGTTCCGACTCACAGCGACCCAGTGTCCACCAGAATGACCCATGGTCCAGTCCTGTACCCTCCTCGCAGTTGTTACTATGCTTGAACCCATTGTTGATGCCATAGTGCCAGTTCATCTCATTGGGGTCTCCCTCTTTACACTGTCCCTCCACTTTACTAAGCATCTTGTCCTCCCTGGACTGGTCCCTCCTGATAACATGTCCAAAGGATGAAGGATGAAGTCTGTCCATCTTGACTTCTAAGGAGCATTCTGTGCTTCCAACACAGATTTGTTCATTCTTCTGGCAGTCATGGTACTTTTAATATTCTCCTCCAGCACCATAACTCAGATGCATCAGTTTTTCTATCATCTTCTTTATTCACTATCCAGCTTTCACATGCATATGAAATTATTGAAAATACCATGACTTGGCTCAGGCGCATCTTAGTCCTCAAACTGACGTCTTTGCTTTTGAACACTTTAAAGAGGCCTTGTGCAACAGATTTGCCTAATGCAATATGTCGTTTGGTTTCTCGACTGCTACTTTCTTGAGTGTTGATGGTGGATCCAAGCAAAGAGAGATCTTTCATAACTTCAGGTGTTTTTCTCCGTTTATCATGATTTTATTTATTAGTCTAGTGGTGTGGATTTTTATTTTCTTTACATGGAGGTGTAACCTTTACCAAAGGCTGTGGTCTTTGGTCTTCATCAGTAAGTATTTGAAGTCTTCACTTTCAGCAAGCAAGGTTGTATCATCTGCATATCTCAGATTGTTAATGAGCCTCCCTCAGATCCTGATGCCACGTTCTTTATATAATCCAGTTTCTCGGATTATTTGCTCAGCATACAGATTGAGTATGGTGAAAGAGTATAACCGTGGCGCACACACCTTTTCTGGTTTAAACCATTCATTGTCCCCTTGTTTTGTTCGAACATCTGCCTCTCAGTGTGTGTACAGGTTCCTCATGAGCACGATAAAGTGTTCTGGAATACTCATTCTCCTCAGTGCCGTTCATAGCTTGTCATCCACACGGTCCAAAGTCTTTGCATAGCCAATAAGGCACAGGCACGCATCTTGCTGGTATTCTCTGCTTTCAGCCAAGATCCGTTTAACATCAGCAGTGATATCTTTTATTCCACATCCTTGTCTGAATAGAATTAACCTCTGGCAGTTTCCTGTCAACGGACTGCTGCAGCTGTTTTTGAATTCTCTTTAGCAAAAATTTACCTACATGTGATATTAATGATACTGTCCTATGATTTCTGCATTCCCCTGGGTCACCTGTCCTTGGAATGGGCACACATGTGGATCTCTTCCCATCAGTTGGCCAGGTAGCTGTCTTCCAAATTTCTTGGCACGGATGAGTGAGTGACTCCAGTGCTGTATCAGTTTGTTGAACTATTTCAATTTGTATTCCATCAATTCCTGGAGCCTTGTTTTCTACCAAGCACGCCTTCAGTGCAGTGTGGACTTCTATCGGTACCATTGGTTCTTAATCATACGCTAACTCTTGAAATGGTTGGACATTGACCGTTCTTTTTTTCCCTGTATTACAGTGATTTTGTATTCCATCCGTCTTTTGATGCTTTCTGCATTGTTCAGTAGTTTCCCCATAAATCCCTCAATATTGCAAGTTGAGGCTTGAATTTTTTCTTCAGTTCTTTCAGCTTGAGAAATGCTGAACGTGTTCATCCCTTTTGGTTTTCTAACATCGGTGCATTGCACATCATAATATACTTTGTGTTCTTGAACTTACCTTTGAAATTTTCTGTTCAGCTCTTAAAACTCCTTATTTCGTCCATTTGCTTTAGCACCTCTACAGTGGAGAGCAGTTTGCAGAGTCTCTGACATCTATCTCTTCTGACATCCATTTAGGTCTTTTCTTCTCTTCTCTTCTTAATGACCTTTTGCTTTCTTCCTCTTTGGTATTCTTGGTATCATCCCACAGCTCTTCTGGTTTTCGATCATGAATGTCTGTTGAATCAAATCTGTTCTTGAGCTGATCTCTAAATTCAGGTGGGATGTGTTCAGGGTCACATTTTTAGCTATCAGAGACTTGGTTTAATTTTTGTCCGTTTCAGCCTGAATTTGCATATGAGCAATTGATGGTCTGTTATGCGGTCTGCCTCTGGCAGCCTTGTTTTTGCGGATGATGTAGGATACTGAACATCGAAACATGATGAAGAGTACCAGAATATTGTCAGATACAGTGTCGGAAGATGAGTCCCTCAGATTGGAAGGCACTCAAAATGCAACTGGGGAAGAACTAACTGCCTCCTCAAAATAGAGTTAAAACCATGATGATGCAGATGGAGTAAAGCCTTCAGGACCTTCATTTGCTGTTAGAGCACAACTCACAATGAGGAGAAACAACTGCAAACATCCATTAATAATTGGCCCTTAGAATGTACAATGTATGAATCTAGGAAGTTCTCAAAAATAAAATGGAACACATAAACGTTGATATCCCAGGCATTAGTGAGCTGAAATGGACTGGTATTGACCAATTTGAATCTGACAATTTTGTGGTTTACTATGTCGGGAATGACAGATTGAGGGAAAATGACATCCCATTCATCATCAGAGAGAACATTTCAAGATCTGTTGTGAAGTATGATGCTGTCTGGGATAGGAGTATGTCCATGGACCTCCAAGGAAGACCAGTAATACCTTTATTCAAATTTACACACCAACCACTAAAACCAGTGAGGATAAAATTGAAGAATTCCACCAACTTCTTCAGTCTGAAATTGATCGCACATGCAATCAAGCTGTGTTGAGAATTATTGGTGATTGAAATACAAAGGTTGGAAACAAAGAGGAGGAGGATCAGTGATTGGAAAACTTGGCCTTCGTGATAGAAATGATGCAGTTGCATGGTGGAAGTTTGCAACATCAATGACATTTTAAATAAAATTACTGTATGTCAATATCCTTTGGGAAAAAACTGGTAGTAATTCCTTACTATCTCCTGTAATCCAGTTGACAATTTGCATTTACAGCTGGTTTGCTCAGATCAGGATCCAAACAGGGTCTTCCTGGTGAATATCCTTGATATGTCTCTTAAGATTTTTCATCCCTTTCTACCCATCTTTTGACCTAGCATTTGTTGACAGAAAGCTGGCAATTTGTTCTCTACAATTTTCCACAATTTAGATATTGCCTGTTTGCTCCTTTGGTGTCTTTTAACATGTTCCTCTGTTTCCTTTAAAATATTAATTAAATGTGAAGCCAGTCCCCTCCCCTCAGCCACATGGCTGCTACTCCTCACCATAGTGACAGGGGCTTCCCAGCGGAGACCAGCCGCGCCGCCGCCCTGCCGCCACAGTTCAGTTTATGTTGCTTTTCAGCCGTCAGGGAAAGCTTTCACTGCAGCAGTGGTACGTTCCACTCTCAGACAAAGAGAAGAAAAAGATCACAAGAGCACTTGTTCAAACCATTTTTTGCACACAAGCCGAAAATGTGCCTCTTCCTCGAGTGGCGGGATCTTAAGATCGTTTACAGAAGGTACGCTAGTCTGTATCTTTGCTGTGCTGTTGAAGATCAGGACAATTAACTGATTACTCTGGAAATAATTCATCGCCACGTGGAACTGCTTGACAAGTACTTTGGCAGTGTGTGTGAACTCGACATCATCTTTAATTTCGAGAAGGCATATTTTCTTTTGGATGAGTTTCTCTTGGGAGGGGAAGTTCAGAAAACATCCAAGAAAAATGTCCTCAAAGCAATTGAGCAGGCAGCTCTCCTGCAGGAGCCACGTCATGAATATTTTAATGTCCCTGCTTACTAAATGACTCCACATGGAGTATGTGAAGTTTCACAGAGGAAATAGCTGATAAACTTCTGAAAGAAAATGTCCTCTGCTTATCTTGTTACAGTAGCGCTAGAACATTTTAGAATCCATACCTTTACAAGTATAATTTTACCCTCTGCCTAGCCCTATCCCATTTCCATTTTATTTTTCATTCTACATGTGATCTTGGTTTAGCTTATGACTGACCCAACTGAACCCAACGGATTTAGTTTAATTCCTTCTAGAAAAAAATAAGACCTCTAAATGTTTTAAGTAATATTTTATCTGAAATTCGTACATGTTACCATTAATGAGCCATCTGTGATTAATCTCAAGAGGAAAACCTTGGAATCCTTAAAATGTTTACCAAAGAAGAAATAGCTGCAAAGCCAGGGCAGCAGGGGTGGTGCCCACATATGTAGTGTGCTGTGGTCTTCAAACAACGAAAACTGTGTTTCCTGTCACATCTCATCCTGTAGGAGTTTATGAGTGCTAATCTATTGCAGAAAAGTGGCTGTGGAAATAATAAATGAGGTTACAGTCAATCTGTACCAGTATTTACAGCATTCTTTGATGAGTTTTGTAATTCAGCAATCCCTGTAAGAGCTGTCAGAAGTTATGCCAGAATAATAGCTTCCACAATATCCATGGCTCATAGGCAGTATTCCTCCAACGTACTAATACTGATTTAAAAAAAAAAACGTAGTTGAAAAGTCAATGTTCAGTTTAAATACCTAAATACTTGTTGTTTTGCTAGGTACAGTTTTATACATAAATCTTCATTTAAATACTTAATGCATTGGTAACTATGGTTTTATCTAGAATATTCAAACCTTTAACGTTGATCATTATTGTGTTTACGTTTAATAAACATGCAGCAAATCTGATTATCAATGGAAGGAGTATCAAATAACTTAATATCTACAAAGTCTGAGTTCTCAGAGCAGCTTACCACTGAAAGGAGAAGGCCTATGAAAGTGTGTTTTGTCCCAATGAGGTGTGATGGCAGGAAGACAGTGCCATCCATCCTTCCCATTCCCGCTGCCCAGCGCCACCTTCTGAAGTCCCAGTCTGGGGATATCACATGTAAATTGGAGCATTAGACTTTTAGACCATTGGGAAACATCGGTCTTTCTTTCCCATTTTCTTTCCCTCCATTCTCCCTGTCAGCCAATAAACTTCCATGTGGTCTTAATGCTGCATAAATATTCATTGTCTCATGCCTGCATAAATATTCATTGTCTCATCACTGAGCTCAAAGCTTTGGACACTGTATGCTGAGCTGTAGCTTGCTGCTGATTTTGTTACCTGATGCCAGTGTTTAAGGAGCTTTGGCTGCTAACCTCAAGGTCAGCAGTTCAAAACTATACCAGCTGTTCCGCGGGAGAAAGATGAGGCTTTCTGCTCCCATAAAGATTTACAGCCTCGGAAATACTGTGTAGGGTCACTATGAGTCAGAACTGACTCCATGGTACTTAACAACAACAAATGCCACTGTTTGCTTTAAATGAGTAGACTTGGAAAAAGCTGTCTTTGCATGTTGAAAATAAAAAGGTTGCATATTAAAAAAAAAAGGTTTTGAATTTTAATTAAATGTCAAGTCCTAATGTGGCCCTTTCCAATAAGCTTTGGACCCGTAACCACAAGGTCACCAATTCAAACCCACCAGCCACTTCTTGGAAACCCTGTGTGGACCACTGTGAATCAGAAGGCACATAACAACAACAGAGTCTTGATGAGATACAAGCTTAAAGTTTGGGACAAAGGTCCTTCATGGGTGGGGCCTTCTCCACCCAGGGAGATCTCTCTTCCCTGAGGGACTCTGTCTGTGATACTGATTAACCAGAGGGCTCAGAGCTTCTTGACTGGACTCATTCTATACAAAGTTCTCTCTGTGTGTACAGATGATCCTCATTGTTCCTGGTTCTGTAAAGTCTCAAATACTGAACCATTGCTCCTAGTGGGGTTGGTTAGTTTCATGTGAGCCTTTTTATGTTTAAAGACACTGTATTTAACAAACACTGTTGCTTCGTTAACACTGAGCTCAAAGCAACAGCTCACTTCTGTACCAAGCGTACCTGACATGCATTTTCCTCCTAAGGCACGCCGCAGCATTCTTGTGCTTAGAAACATTAGACAGTACTTCAGCACTGCGATTGAGAGCCAGTTTAAATAACAAAATCACCAACAAAAAGCACAGAAAATTAGAAGAAACATGGCATTGCATCTACCCTTGACAAGAACACTGGTGTACAGTGTGAGAACTAAAACAAGAAGGCACAGCATCGCCTCCCTCGAGCGCCTCTGGGAATGTGTATGTGTGGTCGGTTAGGGTTACAAGTGAAATTTAGCAAATAGGTATACTTACAAATATGGAATCCACAAGTAACTAAGGTTATCTGTAATGGCTTTAACGACCAAAGAAAGGTTTTCATGAAGGAGTAAGGATTGTTGCCTAGATTTATTTAATTCAGGGTGGCTGTTGGTTATGGTCTAATTTTCTTCCTACTTTCTGTCGAGCTTTTCTCTTATCGACACTTTGGTACCCTGAAATATGTGTACCGTTTGTGTGTGCAGTTGGTACAAGAAAGACCGTAAACATGGTTACTTCTCTCCCTTCACTTACGAGCTTTCAGAATGATGAGCTGCCTCACAAGGACCAGTAAATGGGTTTTTTAATTGGTTTAGTCTCGTTTTGTACTAGAATTTTTTGAAGTACTTTTGGATCATGAAAGTCCTCATTTGTTTTTCAGGTAAGCAATTTTGTATGGAAAAACATTGTCCTGTGATTGCTGGTTGATCTAGTCCCAGAGACTTCTAGTGATAGAATTCTGGGAGTGATATTTGGATATTCTGCCTCCCTGCTTGTGCACTTGGGCGTGGACACAGGCATGCATTCACTGAGAAACCTCTGAGGGGTCTGGCTAGCCCTGGGTTCACGCCTGCCCAGCCACAGGAAGTGTGAGACGAGAGGGAAGGTGTCCTCAGGGTCTGGGAACCTGCCTGCTGTCAGGTGGCCACGGTCACGTCGCAGGCTCTAGTGATGCTTGGGAAGTACAGAAGAAGGAAGTGATATGAAGAAGGGGCTAAAGTAACTTCTTGGTAGATTTGTGATGAATCTGTTTGACTTGGTTCCTTTTGTGTGGCATCTCTGTCTATAGCGTGTCAAGAAAAAAAGGTTATGTTTTACAGAAACTGCATATATGTTGGACTGTTAGTCACTCTGGAAAGTGTTTCAAAAATCTCAGTTGGACTTTTGCTACAAATTCAACTTTTAGGAGAATTGACCATAACATAATCTCTGTGTTAGGCAGATGTATCTAGAATACAAGGGAAGTGTACATTATGTAGGAATAAATGTGTTTCTGTGTACATCCAAAGAGCACACTGATACTGCTGAAGCACAGGAATCCTGTTAAAGTCTGGCTTTTTTTCCTCCTCCAGCCTTCCAGAATACTTTGTAGTGCCAACTTCTTTAGCAGACCAAGACCTGAAGAACTTTTCCTACGCTTTTGTTGGGCGAAGGATGCCGGTAAGTGGCTTCCTGTGGGTTGGGGGGCACCGCTATGCCTGCTGCAGCCAGTGACGTCAGCCTCTGCTTCTCCCCAGCTTTGGTGCTGGAATCACAACAACGGCAGTGCGCTCGTGAGGATGGCCCTCATCCAGGACAGCTTGCAGCAGAGAAAAATCGATCAAAGGTACTCAAGATGTGGTCATGGGTATTTAGATAGCTTTGTGTCACTGTTCGATAAACACTGGACTGCTAACCCACCAGCTGCTCCTCAGAAACCCTAGACAGGGTCGCTGTGGGTCAGAACCGACACGACGACCCTTAATAACAACAACAACGTATATCCTATACTTTGTTATTGTTAAGGGCCGACGAGTCGATTCCGAGCCAAAGCGACCCTGTATAATTTATGAAGAGCGGCTGGTAAGCTTGAACTGCCGACCTTGTAATTCAGAACAACTTTTGCAGTCCAGCGCATTAGCCCACAGCACCACACCAGGACGCCATATGTAAGAACTGCTATTTGAAAACAATTTTTGGTACATTAAGATTTCATTCTAGGCTCCCTTCCTGACGAAATTCACACTGGCTGTGCTTTTAGTGACTGTCTGCTTGCCATTGACCAAGTTTACACCTAAAATCTAACTTGACAGCCCTACAAGGAGGCTTCCAAGGCCCTTAAAGAGCACATTGTATCCAAAACCAGACTCAAGGGTGTAGCCTCGGTCCGCTCCAGGCCAGCTCACCTCCTCTCCTTTTGCTTCTCTGCTCTCAGACACCCAGAGGCCAGCCTTCATGCCTTCTCCTTCATTTCCCTTCCCCATATTCTACCTTGCATTACATTTTGTCACCTCACTTTTAATGCTACAAACCCACGTGTTTCCACCCTAACTCCACCTCTACCAAGAGGCCATTGCTGTGTTCCCGTGTGTTTCATCCAGTGCCTTGCCCTGCCTGCTTCTCCTGGACTCCAGCCAGCTGCCGTTCAGCGTCTCCTTCCTAACATTTGCCCTTGCTGTGTCTGCCTGGGCTGCTGTCTTCATTCTCGTCTGGGTCACTCAGTCATTATTTGCATCTCAACTCAAACAGAGCTTTTTAAGATGAACCTTCTCTCCCAAATTAGATCACACACTCGGATTTTTCTTCATAGCCCTTTCTTCACTTTGAGTTATATGTGTTTGAATGCTGCCTGGTTTGAGGGGCTCTATCTGTTTTCATTAAAATATGAGGTGAGAGGCTATCCCTGTTTTGCATTGCATAGTCAGCTCCCAGGAAGTACCTGTGATATTGAATATTTGTTACATAAATGAACAAGTGAACAGATCTTGGCAAACAGGCTCAGAGAGCTTCCGAGATTGAAGTATATTTCATTACTGGTCCAGACCTGTTTTAGGGTTTACCACATTGCTCTCGAAAACCAAGTGATCCTTAAATGACCCTTCAGTTTTCTCAAAAAGTAGGATAAGCACTCAACAGCTAAACACAAGGTCAGCAGTTCAAATCCAGCAGCCACTCCTTGGAAACCCTATAGAGGGTTCCTTTCCTCGGAGTCAGAACTGTCTCTACAGCACTTGACAAAAACAACAGGACACACCCCTGTTCTCTGATGGACTTTGATTTTACCCTAACACAGAAATGAACCTTCGTGTCATGATCTGAGCCAACTGAGCGCTCAGGGGAGAATTGGGCCGACTGAGTGCTCAGGGGAGAATTTTACTGTTAAAGGGAAGCTTGCAACATTGTTGTCTGAGATTTACTTATACAATTCTAAGATTGGTGGCAGTTTTCATTAATTTCTTTAAGTTATCTTTTCAGCTATCCTTATCTTCATATTTAGAGTAGATCTCTTTGTTGGCCAGCTTCATTTGCAACCTCTTTTTCTCCCTGGCATGTCATCTGACCCCTTGGCCACCTTTAGTTTTCTCAGTCACGCCTGTTTTCACCACAGGACCTGTGAATTAGCTCTTGCTTTGTCTAGAACACCTCCCATCCCGCACCCAGCTCACCCTCCTGATTTCTGCATGTCTTCTAATCATCTGGGTTTCAGCTCCAGTAGATCTTCCCAGGGGAGCCTTTCTTTTCCGGCCTTTTAGCCTAATCAGCCCCGTAGTCATTAGATGACATTGCCCATGGCATTCACCACATGTGGTTTGTTCTTTCTTTACTTATTATTTATTCACCGCTGCTACTACCACCAGGAGCTCTGGTAGCCTGGTGGTTACAAGTCGGCCTGCGAACCTCAAGGTCAGCAGTTCGAAACCACCAGCCATTCCGTGGAAGAAAGATGAGGCTTTACTATTCCTGTAAAGACTTACAGCCTTGGAAACCCTATGCAGGGTCGCTGTGAGTCGGAATCGACTCCACGGCATACCACCACCACCAGGGGCAGCAAGGAGCCCTGGTAACATAGCAAATTACAAGCTGGGCTGCTAACCAGGTCAGCAGTTCAAATCCACCAGCTGCTCTGTGGGAGAAAGAGGAGGCTTACTGCTCCCATAAAGATTTAAAGCCGACTCGGTGCCATACCACCACCACCATGACCAGTACCAGCACCGCCAACAGCAGCAGCAGTAAAGCAAACTCCATGAAGACAGCTGACAGCTGCCCACCTGCCTTGCTCCCCTCTCCCGGCTTTTAGAGTAGAACCTGGCTCATAGTAGATGATCAGTAAGTAGATCTTGAGTAAATGAATGAATAGTGACTGAAGGATTTTGTCTTTATTAGGATTTGTAATGCAATAACTAAAAGTCATCCACAAAGAAGTGATGTTTACAAATCGGATTTGGATAAAACCTTGCCTAATATCCAGGAAGTACAGGCGGCATTTCTAAAACTTAAGCAGCTATGTGTGAATGGTAATTTCCCTCATTTTTATATACACGTATATATATACATATACACACACACACAAAGGTGAATAGGGGATACAGAATTGTATAAAACGTACCATGAAAGGCAATAGACCTTAAAAATATGAAAAACGATATTTAGGAAAAGGCTTATTGCAGTAGTTGTACAAATTATATTTTATAGTGTGAAAATGTCAGAACCTTTCAGGAAATGAAGTTTAAACGGCTTGTTTGCTGGGGGTGGGGAGAGGTAGGGGATGAATCAATTAAATTACCCTCAAATCATGACAAATAGAGTGAAATACTTCCATGAACCATTTGCTAAATAGAACATATTACCTTATAAACAAACTTACCGAGATTTAATGCCTACAGTTGTGTCTTTAGACACATGGGTATTGAATAGAACCATGCTGTGTCATTTCTGGCCTCAGAATTCTAATACATGTGTTGGAGCAGACTCTTCCCAGGTGCCTTTGACGTGCTCTGGAGTGACGCACCACACCAAAGCACGTTAGTGTCAAGTGTGCTCTATGGGCATCGTGACTTGAACGGTCCCGGACCACCTAGGGGTCAAGAGAGGCAGCCTTGCATGAGGACTGGGAGTGTGCCCATAAGGAAAGCTCTGTGGACGGCACTAGGTATGGGCAGGGGGCAGTTTAAAAGAACACAGTGACGTGAACGAGTTGCAGGAGTCCACTAAGTTGAACGTAACTGAAGCCTGGGGTCTGGAAGGTGAGAAGCAACGTCCGATTGGCCAGGGCCTGACTACTAGGCAGTGCAGGTGCCTCTTAGTCCTCAGGGTCAGCCATGCCGTGGAGACAGAAGGGAAGACAAGCGGGAGCAGGAGCAGGGTGAGGCTTCAGAAAATTCTGTGGGCGTTAGGGACTTTGGGCAATGTTCCACAGAGAGTAGGGAGGGCCAAAAATCAGGGCAGGACCTAGCGAGGAGGACCTGGAGGCCAGAAGTCCCTAAATCTTAGCAGGGTGCATTGTTAGGGCTCCCCAAGATTTCTGTGAGAGAATCTGGAGAGAAGAGGGGGGCTCAGAGGACTGCTTTGTTGAGCCTTTTCTTAGCATTACAATATGTCTTCAGTATTTGCTGTTACCGAAGTGGAAATGCATGATACTTCCTTTTAAATAGTGAAAACTCTGTGATATAGGCTATACCCTATTAAGATCAGAATGCCTGAAACTGTATGTGTGCTGCCATATTACAGAGCCATTTGAAGAAACTGAAGAGAAGTGGTTGTCTTCGCTGGAAAGTACTCGGTGGTTAGAATATGTGAGGTTTGTACAACGTCTTTCCTTTTTCTTTCTTTAACTTCTTATTCTGAAATAATTGTAGCCTCACAGGCAGTTGTGAAATGGTTCAGTAATGTCCCATGTACGCTTCACTCAGCTTCCCTAACGAGTGTAGAGTCACAACCAGGAAACTGACATTGGTGAAATCCATACACCTTACTCAGATTTCCCTAGCTTTATCCATGTTCTTGTATGTGTGTGTGTACTTCTGGGAAGTATTATCACACATACAGATTTGTGCAAGCAACCCCACAGTCAGACACAGGACTCCTTCATCCCCACAGGCCCCCTCCCTCCTACCACCCCCCCTGAGAGAAATTGCATCAGCTCATGCCCATCTCTGGCCCCTGGCAAACAGCAAGAGGTTCACTTCTGCATGTTGGTAATTTTGTCAGTTAAAGGATATATAAATCAACTGTTTCCTTTTTGTAAAAGATTAATAAATTTCCTTGATGGAAAAATCACAAAATATACTTTGTTTTAGACACATATATAAAAGGAGCTCTGGTAGCGTAGTGGTTACGAATCGGGCTGCGAACCTTAAGGCCAGCAGTTCGAAACTACCAGCCGCTCCGCGGGAGAAAGATGAGGCATTCTGCTCCCGTAAAGATTTACAGCCTCGGAAACCCTGTACAGGGTCGCTATGGGTCGGGTCCGACTCCACGGCACTTCACAACAACAACAACAACATAAAAGCTGGAGAAGTTATTATTGAGACTATAGATACTTACAGCGTAGTGGTTACGAATCGGGCTGCGAACCACAAGGTCAGTGTGAAACTACCAGCTGTTCCGTGAAAGAAAGGTGAGGCTTTCTGCTCCTGTAAGGCTTTCCAGCCTCGGAAACCCTGTGCAGGGTCACTATGAGTCAGAATCGACTCTATGGCACGTCACCACCACCAATGAAAGATTAGATTTGCTTGATATCAAGTACATTAAAAAATGGTTTGTAGTGGAAATGAGGTTTGTTTGTTTGTTAATCTAATCTTATGTTTTTCCCTTTTTCAGGACATTCCTTAAACATTCAGCAGAACTTGTATACATACTTGAAAGCAAACGTCTGTCTGTAATCTTACAAGGTAACTCTCATCTCACAAGGGTAATTCCTGAAACCATCGTGACCACCATCTAGCCAACACTGGACATTGATTGGCTGCATTCGAGTAAATTACATCAATCTTACCTAGTTCTTATTTACTACGTTTTCATCAAATATACTACACATTTTAAATAGTAGGCTAAGGAGGTGACGCCAAGATTGCAAATAGGAGAGTAGACAGAATTCTAACGTTCTGCTTTGTAGGAGTTCTTCCTGTTTCATGGTAAGGGTGTCCATGTCCCTTATGAGATTGCTACTACTGTTGTCAGGTATCTTGGAGTCGCTTCTCACTCACAGTGACCCTGTGTAGGGTTTCTGAGGAGTTGTTGGGGAGTTTGAACCATCAGTGTTGTGGTTAGCATGCACTGCTTATTCTATAGCCCCACACCAGGACTCCTTATCAAATTTAGGTTAATTTTGACAACATCCTTTATCTCTAGTCTTGCTGTCTTTCTAATTCAAACAAGTTTATTTTTGCATAAATACCTTCTGCTTACTGCTGGATTGTGACTCTGAGGGAACAGTTATCCGGAAAGTAATTGAGCTCAATAGCCCATAATGTATGTGTCTCATTTTGTGGGAATAAACTGCAAATATGTAAAAATCCTCCAGTAAAAGCATAATTGTAGATCAAATAATTTTATAGCTAAAACAATTAATTACATTAGAATAATTTCTAGCTTATGATGAAGTTTAATCGACCACCAACTTCCTGGTTGTATAGTATATTCACATTGCAAAATACACATAAATGAATACACATTGCTACTTATACCCATAGGAGTGTTTTTATCAGCTGTCAAACTTAATTGGGAAACAGTTTTTTAGAAAAAGAATAGCAATGGAAAGGAATTTGTACCTGATAAAGTTTGTGCATGGTGTCTTTGTGTGTGTGTGTGTGTGTGTGTGTGTGTGCAATTCACAAGTGTGTGCAGAGCCTTGCAAGCTAGTGCCTGTTCTCATCCTATGGGCCAGCCTGGCCCTTTAAATCTCCCTGTTTTGAGGATACAAATGAATAATACTAAGTATACAGAGTCAAGTTTTATATAGTTTTTATCATCCTGTGCAAAAAAAAATGGAATACTGGTGTGGTTCTATAGGATAAGCACTGGACTGCAAGGTCAGCTTGAACCTCAAAGCCAGCAGTTCCAACCCACCAGCCACTCCTTAAGAAACCCTATACAGGCTCACTGTGGGTCAGAACCGACTCACCAACACTTACAAAGAACAGCACAGAAAAAATGATACAACCATCCATCCCTCCTCCAGTACTCTACTCCTCAACTATGTTTAATAATTCCCTGTTGTGGCCACATAGAACTCAGACAGTGTACTAACAATAGTAGGGATAGTTAGGGAGTCACCAGGTTACATACAATTCAGAGTCAGAAATGTTCCATGCCCATGGGTAGGCTAGGGCCCCTTGGTCTGACCCTGCCCTGCTCCGGCAATGTTGTTGATAAATTCCCAAAGGACACTCCACTCCACCCCACCCACCAGAAGCCTCAGCCTGACTTCCGCAGTAAGCCTAGCTTGTCCTGTCCCAGGACCCCAGCTTTGCTTACTCCCTGGTTTGGGAAGCCCACTGCTAGGGCTTGGTTCTGTGCTACTTCCCCTCTGCCATCTCTGTGTCACAGCTTCCTGTCCCAAAATTGAGGCAGTTCAGTGCCTCGAGAATCTCCGAGTCCAAAGGATGTGCTCCATACCTAGTTAGTCTTTGATAGTAGTGAGTCCCCCTTCCTGCTCACTTTCTACACAGGAGGATGGGAAAACTGGCCAATCATAACTAGCCAGGTTAACAGGCACAGTGGGTCATATAATCCATCTGCAGTTCCTCACCTTCTCTTACCTGGACCCATCAGGAAAATGTCATTTGGTAGGAGTTTACAGATTCTGGCTAGAAGCGACATTAAATTATTCACTGCACTCCACCACCTAAAAATATTCTCTGTGTCCCAGCCCCAGGCAACCACATTGAGTATTTTCTTTTAATTTTTTGGAAATGCACGTAGCATAACATACACCCACTCAACAATTTTTACATGTACATTTCAGTGGTGGTGGTGGTGGTTAGGTGCCATCAAGCTGGTACCCACACATAGCAACCTCATGCACAACAGAAGGAAACACTGCCACGTCTTGTGCCATCTGCACAGTTGTTGCTAGGCTTGAGCCATTATTGCTGCCACTGTGCCAGTCCATCTTGTTGGGGTCGCCTTCTGTTTGTGCTGACCCTCTGATTTACAAAGTGTAATACCCTTCAGGGATATGTCCAAAGTATGAAAGACAAAGTCTGGCCATCCTGGCTTCTAAGAAACATTCTGGCTGAACTTCTTTCATGACAGATGTGTTGGTTCTTCTGGCCGTCCATGACAGTCAGAATTCTCCAACACCAGAACTCAATGGCATCCATTCTTCTTTATTCATTGTCCAGCTTTCACATGCATATGAAGCCATTGAAAATGCCTTTGCTTGGGTCAGAAGTACCTTAGGTCTCAAACTAAGATCTTTGTTCTTGGTTTAAGGTTGTGCCTAGCACTTGAAGGAGGTCATGAGCATCAGATTTGCCTAGTGCCATGTGTCATTTGATTCATTGACTGCTGCTTCATTGAGGGTTAATTGTGGATCCAAGCAAAATGAAGTCTTTGACAACTTCAGTCTTTTCTCCATTTGTCATGTCATTTATTGTTCCAGTGGAGAGGATTTTTGTTTTCCTAGAGGCGCAACTCATACTGAAGGCTGTTGTCTTTGATCTTCATCACAAAGTGTTTTAAATCCTCTCTGCTTCTTGCAAGTAAGGTTGTATCACCTGCATATCGCAGGTTGATAATGACTTTCCTCCAATCCTGATGCCATGTTCTTTTACATGTAATACAGCTTCAGGGATTATTGGCTCAGCATACAGATTGAATGAGTATGAATAAATCCATTTCTCCATGGTGTGTCTCATTTCAGAGCTATAGCCCTAGTATGCTGGCTAAAGACTCCACACCCTCGGTCAGCAGCTCTGTCTGCTTTTTTTTAATCATCCACCAAAGTGGGGGGCAGGCCGAATTTTTTTGTATTTGCTGACCAAGAATGATCAAGTAGACAGATCGTTTCACACGAGCGAAAGATTTAAAAATATATTGAGAGGAAAATATCTGGCTGGAGTTGATGAGGAGGGTCCTAGGCAATACTAACCCTCATCTCTGAACAGACATTTTACAGGTGTTGAAAAGGTTTTAGGTGGGAAAAGGAGTCCTGGCGTGACTCTGTAGGATAAAGCTCTAGACCGCAGGTTGGTTTGATCCTCAAGGCTGGTGGTTCAAACCCACCAGCCACTCCTTAGAAACCCTGCACAGGGTAGCTATGAGTTGGAACCGACTCAATGGCACTTAATTAACAGCATCAGGTGGGAAAAGGCATCATGCTTATTCATAGGGGTAGGAAGGGATTTCCAGGAAGTGGCCCGTTTAGGAGGGGCCATACTAACTGGGTTGTGTGCGCAGCATGTCTTCAAGGTGGAGTCCATCTCAAAGGCCTCTGGTATGAGCAGACAAAACTTACTCTGGGATGTTGAGTGTGCCTGGTTTTCAGGGGCTGGTGTTCTCCTCTGCCCCTGCAGAACGTAGTCCTTTACAGTTATGCCTAGGGCCTTGAGTAAGTTAGTTGTAAAACATCCTACAAGAACATGAAATACAGACTTTTTATGGGTGGTCTTCTTTAATGGCATGCACCAGAATGTAGGTGCTCAGCTATGCTCCCTGAGCATGTCCTACATGTCTTTGTAATTGCTCAAGCAAGCAGGCCTCGACACTCCTTCAGGTTGTAGTCACAAGACTTAATAAGCTGCTTATGTTTAACCCTGATTTCTGGGCCCCCTTTTCTCCCAACATTCACATACGAGTCTTTGTGTTTTCACTTCTCTTGGTAGTTACCTAGAAGTACAATTGTTGGGTCATATGGTAAAATGAGGAGTCCTGGTGTGACACTGTAGGTAAGCAGTGCAGACTCACCAGCGACTCCTCGGAGACCTCGAGCAGGGTTGCTGTGAGTTGGAACCGACTTAGGGCACTTACAGTATCGTGGTAAATTGATGGTCAGCTTTTAAGAAGCTCTCCTAATGTGGCTGTGCCACTTTACCTCCTCACCAGTAATGTATACAGACCTCAGTCCCCATGTCCTGCTTGTGTCTGTCTTGATAATTCCAGCTGTTTTAATAGCTGTGTGGACTCCTGGTGTGGTTCTGCAGGATCAGTATGGACTGCACACCACAGGGTCGGCAGTTCAAACCCACCAGCTGCTCCTCAGAAACTCCATCCGTACAGGGTCTCTCTGACTCGGAACTGACTCCATGGCACGTAACACCAGCAGTAATGAAGTGGTATTTTCTTGTGATTTTCATTCACGTATTTCTCACGCATTTTATGTATTTATTAGCCATTTATGTTTTCTTTGGAAAAGTAAGACCTGTTCAGAACTTTTTCCATTCTTCATTTGGGTTGTTTGCTTATTGTTGAGTTCTAAAAAAACTTTTATATATTCTAGGTAAAACAAATCATTATCATTTGTATGATTTGCAGATATTTTCTTCCCGTCTGTCTATTTTCTTTTAACTTTTTATCATTAATTGAGTTAAGGTGTATAGAGCAGATCATCAGTTTTACGTTGAGCACATGATCCACTTCATTCGTCTCAGTGATCGCAGTCCCTTAAGGAAACACACATTCACAGTGGCACAATCAGCCACCATGTTTGAGTGGGGCACCGCCATCTTTGATGACGTTTCTCGCAAGGCCTCAGCTCATTCAACTTATTGCAACATGGGGAACTGCCTGTATAGTCTCCCACTTCCTCCCTTCTTCTTTCCGTTCCTCCTTTCCTAATCCTTCTGAACCTTGCCCTTTTAATCTCAAATAGTTAACTGTGCCGTGATGTCACTCACTAATGTTCCTCTATATACCCATCTATCGCTCAGCCGAAATTTGGGATGTGAGG